CGGGGAAGAAGACCCGGGGCCGCGTGAAGATCAAGATGGAGTTCATCGACAACAAGCTGCGGCGCTATACGACCTTCAGCAAGAGGAAGACGGGCATCATGAAGAAGGTACCGAAGCCGGAGGTCGGCGCGCCCCGGGGGGACCCGGAGGGTGGGTGCGCGCGAGGGTTACCCCTGAGCGAGACAGAGCCGAGGCGGAGGTGAGGGGCGGTGAGCCCGCAGGTGTGTAGGAGGGGATGGCTGTGCACCGGCCGGGCGAGAGGGGAGGGGCCGCCCGGGAGATGTGGGGAGAGGGGAGATGCTGCCCGGAATCCAGGACAGAGGCGCCAAGGTGGGAGTGACCAGCGCGGGAGAAAAGGGGGTCCTGGAGGAGTGCAGGAGTGAGCAGGGGCCGGCAGGAAAGTGGCTAACCAGACACGGGGGTCAGCCGATCTGCTGTGTTCTGATGTGTGGGAAAGGCGGTGGGAAGGGGAGCACAGGATTTTGGAATGAGGAGGCTGGAGTTGGATGACAGCAGAGCGAGCGTGAGTGGGAGGAAAGTGGGCATCGCTAGAGTAGTGCGGGCTCGAAGGACAGGCAGTGTTAGGGACCAGGTGAGGAAGCTGGGCGGGAGAACTGCTGCTGCCTTGAGGAACGGCAAGCTGAGACCAAGTCCCGCCCTGGCCATGTGTCTTCCGTTGCTTTCTCTGGAAATCCCACGCTGCCCGCAGGACTGGCTGCAGAATCTTTGGGACAAGTAGTGTTTCCAGCTCTAGGGCAAAGCAGTGTATGCAATGTTGGGGACAGGAAGATTTGTAGAGGTATCTTTTGCCAGCCGATATCCTATAAAAAGTGGTGAGGAAAGGGAGGGGTCATCTTGGAGTCTAGGGGATACAGGAAGGGATGGAAGAGGAGGAACTGGGAAACAAACTACAACCTGGGAACCAGTGTTGTTAACTGTTTCTTGTAGAAGCCAGAATGGCTTCCCAGGTGGGTTGTGCAATTTAGCTGGGGCTCCCATTCCTGGGTTCATGGCAGAGTATTTGCTGCAAACTTAGCTCTCATCATTTTGGGCACTCTCCTGTCAGTAACCCTTGACCATCATGGAAAGGTTTTGGGAGAAGGTAGTAAGTTCCTTGGGGCCTTCCTTATCCTTCTATCCCAAGGCAAAGGAAAACGGCAGTATAGTATTACAGGGTAAAAGGGGTTAGGCTGTGGCAACAGGTTGGAGCCTGTGCAGTGTTCTGGCAGGAAACATGGGCAGTTGCACACATGCATAGCTGTTATCACTAATGTGATGTGTGAATTCCAGTGTGGTAGGGATCTCACGGTCTGACAGTGAGGAGGAAGCGAGCACCATGCAGTGTTCGTGGATAGCTATAACTGGGTCTTTCTGTGTTCCCTTGAGTTTGTACGCCCAATCCCTGCTGACAGCTATTTCTGTTTGCTTGGGGTGTCTGCAGTCAGTGGGACTGCTTCTTCAAGGACATAGGTAGTTTTTCTACTTCAGCTCACCTTCAGATCTTAGATAGGACCCTGCTCCAGTCACTGGAGTTGAAGGTCATCACAGCAGTCGGTGTTGGAGATCACCATAATTCTCCCCAGGGAAGTGGAGTGGAAATGCTGACCTGCCCATCTCCCTCCCAACTCCCCAGGCCTATGAGCTGTCCACGCTGACAGGGACACAGGTGCTGTTGCTGGTGGCCAGTGAGACAGGCCATGTGTATACCTTTGCTACTCGAAAACTGCAGCCCATGATCACCAGTGAGACCGGCAAGGCACTGATTCAGACCTGCCTCAACTCGCCAGACTCTCCACCCCGCTCAGACCCCACCACAGACCAGAGAATGAGTGCCACTGGCTTTGAAGAGCCGGATCTCACCTACCAGGTGTCGGAATCTGACAGCAGTGGGGAAACCAAGGTGTGTTGTTGGGGTCATCTAGTAAAGGGAGGGAAGAAAAGAGGGTCCCTTTCCTTTCTTGGCCTAGTACAGGTAAATAGATGTTCTTAGTGATGTGGAGTGGGACCAGGTTAGTGGTCCTTATCCTGGGAGACAGGTGTCCATCCTCCATTCCTGACAGGAGGCCGTCCCCCTAGATAAGCGGGCGGCCTCCGTGCCCATATAAGGCCGGTTCGGGCTCCACGCCGGCCTCCCGCCCGCCTGCAGCCCGCCCGCCTGGCAAGGCCTGTGCATTCCTCCCGCCAGCTGTCTCCCCACTGGGGGCGGGGGTGTATCTTAGCCCTGCCCTCCTGGCAGGATAGGAATAGGAAGGGAGCCTCCGAATCCAGGGTCCTGGGAACCCAATGCTGTTTCCAAGCGGGATGTCAGGTTGGGCAAGGAACAACCATACTAGCGAGCCTCATAACAGGGGTTCGGGATACCCAGGTCTGGGCTGCTAGGGAGAGAGCATCCGCCTGCAGCTAAGGATGCCGGCTCTAGTTACTCCTCCCCCTTATTCCTGGTAAGGAGAGGAGGGCGGGTCTTCCTGCTTGCTGTCTGTGGAGCTCCACCTTCCGGGTGCTTAACTAATTGACCAATGGAAGGAAGCGGCACTGTTTGCCTTAGCAACGCCTCTACCAACCAAAAACCTTGGGGCCGGTTGCTTAGCAAACATCCCGGGCTGACCCACCCCGGCTTTTTGAATCAAGTCGGATTTTGGCCTGGCGGCTTGATTTTCATCTCCTGGCTTCTTCCCTACTCTAAGAACAGCGGCCCTCTGAGGAGAGAGTCAATACTCCAGGTTCTCCTTGTGTTAGTTACCCTTTATGTGCAGTCGTTTCCTGGTATGTGTAGGCTTCATTTCTATGCATGTGGGTAAGCCCCTTGGTAGTTGGTCTTTGCTTGGTTGGCTAAAGCGCTTCACTGTCAAATCTTTATGAGCTTTCTTTTCTGTGAAAAATGTCAGTCCCTGCCTTAGAGCCTAGCAGATCAGAACTGTAAGAACCCTTTTGAAGAGAACTCAAACCCAACCTCTCACATTTTGAAGAGGAAATTAAAGCTCATAAAAGGGAAGTGATTATCTCAGGGTCACCCCTGACAGCCATTGCCAGAGCTAGAAACAGACTGAGTGGGATTTGTGCAGTAACCTAGGGCAGAGAACGTGCAGGAGTTCTCAAGCAAAGAGCCGCAGGTGTTTATTCTGATGTTAGTGTGAGCTTAGATGTTTCTCTCTGAGTGGTTCTAGGAATGCTAGCCTGCTTTATCATCTTAACAACCTCGGAGTTATGTAGTTGTATTTTTTCTTTATATGTTTGTAATATCTATTTATTATTTTGAGACAAGGTCTCTCTGTGTAGTCCTTATTGTCCTGGAGCTCACTCTGTAGACCAGGCTGGCCTTGAACTCACAGATCCTCCTGCTTCTGCCTCTGCCATACCCAGTGTTATATTTTTAATTTCTAAACTCTGAGACAGGGTCTCACTAATATGAGACTGCTCACTGCTTCAGCTTCCCAAGTGCTAGGACTAAAGGATCAAGCCACCAGGCCTAATAATAGCTTCAGGACTTGCATGGTGAAAGTAAATGGTATAACTAGGGTTTTAACTGACTGAACCACCAGTTTCTACCTGAATTCTGAATTCACACAAAGCTGCTGCAGGGATTAAATCTGTTAGATGCTCACTGTTCCATCTTTGCTCTGGTGTAGGACACACTGAAGCCAGCATTCACAGTCACCAACCTGCCGGGTACCACCTCCACCATCCAAACAGCACCCAGCACCTCTACCACCATGCAAGTCAGCAGCGGCCCCTCCTTCCCTATCACCAATTACCTGGCACCAGTGTCTGCTAGCGTGAGCCCCAGTGC